TGCGCTTGCCCGTGAGGATGATGTGGGAGACGGTGTCAAAAGCCTTGCTGAAGTCAAGGTAGACAACATCCACTGCCCTCTCCTCATCTACCCATCCAGTCACACCATCGTAGAAGGCTATCAGATTAGTCAGACATGACTTCCCCTTGCTGAATCCATGTTGACTACTTCTGATAACCTTTTCCTCCAGATGCTTTGAGATGACGCCCAGAACAACCTGCTCCATCACCTTTCCAGGGATAGAGGTGAGGCTGACCGGCCTGTAGTTTCCCAGATCATCCATCTTGCCCTTTTTGAAGACTTGAGTCACATTGGCTTTCCTCCAGGACCTTTCAAAGATGATGGAGAGCGGCCCAGCAATGACTTCCCCCAGCTCCCTCAGCACTTGGGGGTGCATCCCATCAGGCCCCATGGACTTGTGGGTAGCCAGTTTACTGAACTGATCTCTTAACTTGTTCCTCCTCAACCAAGGGAGAGTCTTCCTTCCTCCAGACTTTCTCTGTTACCCGCAAAGTCTGGGACTCCTGAGGACTGGCCCAAGCAGTGAAGACAGGAGCAATAAGGCATTCAGCAACTCCGCCTTTTCTGCATCATCTGTTACCATGGCACCCATCTCGTTCAACAGCGGGCCCACGTTTTCCCTAGTTTTCCTTTTGCCTCCTATATACTTAAAGAAACCCTTCCTGTTGGCCTTGACATCCCTCGCCAGGTTCAATTCCAAGGCTGCCTTGGTTTTCCTCGTTTCCTCCCTGCATACCCTGACAGCATTCTCATACTCGTCCCAAGCAGTCAGCCCCTTCTTCCACCTACTGTGAACTCCCTCCTTCCACCTGAGCTTTTTCAGAAGCTCCCTGCTCAGCCATGCAGGTCTCCTTCTTCCCCAGCCTGATTTCTTGCTCTCAGGGATGCACCGATCCTCAGCTTGGAGGAAGTGATGCTTAAATATCAGCCGGCTCTCTTGAGCCCCTTCTACCCTCTAGAGCCCTCTCCCATGGGATTTCTCCAAGCAATTCCTTGAAGAGATCAAAGTTAGCCCTCCTGACGTTTAAGGTTTCAACCCTACTTGTCATTTTGTGCATACTGCACTTGATCCTGGACTCTGTCTTATGATCGCTGCAGCCCAGTCTGCCCCCAACCTTAACATCCTCCACCAGTCCCTCTTTGTTTGTCAGTACTAGGTCCTGTAGTACACCTCTCCTTGTGGGCTTCTTCACCACCTGAGTCAAAAAGTTATCATCAATGCACTGGAGGAACCTCCTGGGCTGTACGTGTCCAGCTGTGTGGCCTTCCCAGCAGATATCAGGGTAGTTGAAGTCCCCCATGAGAATCAAGGCCTGCGATTGTGAGGCGATTCTCACCTGTCTGTAGAAGGCCTCATCAACTTCCCCATCCTGATCAGGTGGCCTGTAATAGACACCCACAGCAGTGTCTCTCCTGTTACCCTGCCCCTTGATCCTTACCCACAAGCTCTCAAGTTGCCCTTCATATGCCCCCAGGGACAGCTCGATACATTCCAGTTGCTCTCTCACATAAAGAGCAACTACACCGCCTCGCCTCGACGGCCTCTCTTTCCTAAAGAGAACATAGTCCTCCATGACAGCGTTCCAGTCATGCGAGCCATCCCACCACGTCTCAGTAATTGCGATGAGATCATGGTCCTGTCACCGCACGCAGATCTCTAACTCCTCTTGTTTATTCCCCGTGCTGCGTGCATTGGTGTATAGGAATTTCAGAAAGGCCAATGAGTGTGTAGTTTTTGCCCTTGAGGGGTGGTGGGCCTTCCGATTCTCAAAAATACTAGCACAAGTGCTGAGCCACTACCCCCAGGCGCCTCTCTAGCGAGCCCAGTTACGTGCCCATCCCCCTTCCAATCTAGTTTAAAGCTCTCCCAACGAGCTCTGCTAACTCTGCTCCAAGAACCATTTTCCCCCTGCGTGACAGGCTTTTCCCATCTGCTGCCAGCAGGCCTGGTGTTCTGTAAATCAGGCCGTGATCGAAGAACCCAAAACCCTGTCTGTGGCACCAAGTTCGGAACCAGTCATTGACGTGCTGGCTCTGCCTGTTAACCCCCTCATCGTTCCCTGCAACTGCAGGTATAGAGGAAAACAAGACTTGGGCTCCCGATCCCTTAACCAGTTGTCCTAAGGCCCTGAAATCTTTCTTCATTGCCCTCGTTGTTCTTCTCACTACATCATCACCAGCAGCTGCCACTGCAGACAAGGAGGACCTACAGCTGGAACCGGGCTGGGCTTTGAGCTGGTCATCTCAGCTCAAATGGAGCCCAGGGGTTCCTCCTCACTTCCTTCCTCTCTTCTGGAGTGGGCAAGACGAGACTACCTGCTGGGCAGCCCCCCCAGTGCAGCTGGCAGGTGACAAAGAGAAGTGACTGGGGCTTCCCTGCCCAGCAGCAGCCCCTCAGTCCTACTGGTGGTTGCCCCAAGTCCTGCAGAAGTGACGGGTGAACTCCTGCCGGCCTCACCATCAACTGCACCGCGCATGTGGGCAAGTGTCTGTTTTGGAGCCAGCCAGATGGCTGACGTCAGCCAGGAAGTCCACGATCTACTGGACTACGTCAGACCCCTCGACATGGACAGCCTGGGGCACGTCCAACAGATGTCCATCCTTCACGTGCCACCAAC